GGGCCATGTCAGACCGGTGAATGCCTTGAAGTTCTTTTCTTCCCCTGTGATGACCCTGGCCTTCTCCTTCATGTAGACGTTCCTGATGGGCATCACAGGTCCTGTCGGCCGGGTGGTCAACTTGAGTTCTTCAGCAGAGCTGTCTCTCTTCTTGGGGGCCGATGGCTTCCTGGGGAAGAGGATGAGCTTCCAGCCGTACTCTTTCAGCCGCTGCACTTTGGCCTGCAGGGACTCGGTGGATTTGCACCGCTGCCTTGGGTCCACCTAGATGCCAATGGTCCGGGCCACCTTCTTGTGAATACTGGCTACCCACAAATCCTCCAGACTGAAGCCCCGGCCGGCTCGGACCTTGGTGTTGTATCACACCTAGGACAGCACACGATGGGCCGAATGGGTCCTGACATGGGGCGCGGGGTGATGCGGCGCGCTTTTGCCTGCTGGGCCTTGCGCCTGTGGACCTTCCGTGTTGGCTGATTGAACCACATAGCCACACGCCGCTGCCAGTCCTTGTGGAAGTGGGGCTTCAGAATCATGCCATTCCGGCTGGGGGTGATGACTGCCTCTTAGGCCGCGGATCGGCGGAACTGAAAGGCCAGATTTTGAAATATAATGAGATAGCTTGGAGATGGAATTTTAGTCTGAACACAAAACTCATTTGGGTTTCATGTATACCTTATACACATAGACTGAGGATAATTTTATACAATACTTTGGTAACTTAAGTTTTGCACATTGAAATGTCAAAAAGCAAAGGTATCGCTGTCACAAAAGGTTGTGGGTTTTTTTAAGCATTTCAGATTTTGGATTTTTCAGATTAAGAACGCTCAACACACACATGCCAAATACATGTGTCTATATACACTGATAATATCCTTGTAGAAATGTCTATTTGTAGATCAGATTTAGATCTGAGATTTAAATTAGTGCCTCCTCCAATCTTTCCATGAGGAATTTTTTGAAATACTGTTTTTATGTTTGGTGGTTTTGTTTTGGTTCATTCTACAAATAGAGGTTCCCTAAGTCCTGGGAGGGTGCTCTTCTCTAATAGTTGGACATGTGCAGAGCACAATGGAGACTCTAACTGTACAGATATTGCAGCTCACAGATGGCATGAGTAACTGCGCTGCACCCCGTCTAAAGCTACACATGTATGCCTAAGATGTTTGCTATTCAGACAGATAGTGAGGTTAAGCTCAACAACCTAAGTTGTATGGTAATAACAATAAGCTTGTCTTCTGGATGGTTAACAACCTAAGTTTGCAGACCAAAATTAGAGAAAAAGGAGTGCTGCAAGGAAAGCCAACTTTTTGGCCCTGGCCTTCCAAGGTCAATTAAGACTCAGGACATATGAGAACTTGTACTGTAACATCAGGTAACTCGGTAGTGTCCCAAATATTCTGATCAAGGAGATTCTGGGACCAAAGAGGAAAGTGATCGATGATGTAGAGTGTGCCTAAGGAGAGTCACATGGAGAGAAAACATTCTCTCGTTCACAGAGAGCACATTGGCCAAGCAATGGCTGTGACTCATCCACATGGCTGACACTGACAAAGGTTCTACAATCTAAGGTACAGGATCTCAGGATAAATCCTGAGGGGATTTCACTGACCTTATCAGACCCAAAAGCTGCAACTCTTCTTGCATAGGTCCTGCTTTACCTTGGTCTTAACCATCCAGTAGAAAAGTATGAAGATGAAATATAGGAAATAAAGCCATGCTGTTATGTTGAGCTGTGGGGGACTCAGGTTAACAATTTCTGACATTGCCAGTCAAGCAGAAGACCCAATACTATTATGGGCTACTGGACTCTTTTAGAATATTTTGTTGCGTTTACACACCTATAATGTTCAAATAATGGAACTTAACAAAAAAGGACATACAGATGAATGTCCATTTTGTATCTGTGTATTCAAAGTGGTTAGGAAAGATATAGTTACATTCTCTTAATGAATAGAGGGATTTGTTCTAATGGTGTTTGTAAATAGGATATCATGTCCGCATCTTGTACAGCAATTAACCACTAGGAAGAATGTATGCAATGTGTTAATTATTGAAACTGTCCTACCAATTTGGTTTGAAACTCTCTCATTGCTATTTGTTTCTCAATAAAATTAGGGGAAAAAATAAAGGTACATATGTAAAACCCTACGTTAGATTCATAGGCTTGGAGGTTTCCATGCAGAATTACCAAACATTGAAAATGAATAAGCTGAGGCCAGTGGGATGAAGTGATGTATCCAAGATCACAATTATTTGTTGGCAGAGTTAGAATAGATCCCTAGTCTTGAGACTCCTGGTCCAGTGCCTTTTCTACTATACATCATCCTGATGTGTCAACAAATGCATGCTGTGCTTGATGTGCTTGGTGGGAGGATTTATGAATTTAGAGTGATTCGTGAAGAGGTTCCCAGAGGAGGCAAGTTTTGACATATAATTTAAAAGATGGAAAGGCTATGCTATGTTCCACAGGACCTAGAAAGCTATTTATTTTTGTCTCAGCAAAACAGAGCCCAGTGAATTCTGGCTATAGGGTGTGCCTACCTGCCTTCAGAGGTTCAGGTTTTGTACTGGACAATAAAAATGAAGAGGGTGAGAATCAGCAGCTCTGGGTCTTCCCAACCCTCACCCTGTTTTTAAATAAAGCAAAAAATAGATAAGAATAGCGATTCAACCCTTCTGCTGAGAAGTAGAGAGAACTGAGATACAGCAGAACGTAACACCTGCTACTTCAGCTAAAACCCAAAGACCTGCCCTAAGCCCCAGGCCCCATTTCTCATTACTTGCCGTGGGTCAGCCTGATTCATGATCATTCATCTAGTTCTAATTTGTCAGAAGGCAATCTGCTGGGATGGAGATTCATGGATTCTGGAAGCAAAGAATCTTGGGTCTAGTCCCAGCTCTAGTCTAGTTTGTAGCTGTGTGACCTGAAAGCTTTAACCTCTTTTACTCTGACTTTCTTCATCTCTTGACAGTTATTGAGTGAAAAATATATGCCAGTGGTAGATTTTTGTGGGGAGAATGCCTTCGAGGAGCTCCTTTATAAAACCTGTATACTGCATCTTCCTCATGAATTTGTTGGGAATGTAAAATGAACTAATAATTTTACAAGGACCAGGCACACCCTACTTCAACAAACATTGCTTTTGTTAGATCAAGCTTTCAGTGAAATAGTAAGGGGCTAGAAATGCAGTTTAAGGTGGAGCATTGCTTAGCATGTGAGCAGCCCTGGGATCAAGCCCCAGCACAAACACACACACACACACACACACACACACACACACACACACACACGAATGAAAATCCTAATTCTGCTATTCTGGAAGCAGAATCGGGCAGTCATGTTTTATCCACTATAGTGTTATTTTTTCTTTTACTGTGCAGGTATTTCATAGTGAAAAAGTTCTGAGGAAAAGAACATGGAGAGAAGCTGAGGCATTTTGTGAAGAATTTGGAGCTCATCTCGCAAGCTTCGCCCATAATGAGGAAGAAAACTTTGTTAACGAGCTTTTACACTCCAAATTTAATGGGTAAATGCTTGTTGATTTTGAAAACTTACAGGTGAAAATTCTATCTCCTAGTAATGGCTTCTTCATGATGAGTATCCCAAATTGTTGTTTTAAACTCCAATATTTGTTTCACTTGGTTTTCAAAGTGCTGTCTGATGCTTCCACGTTCCTAGAAGCTTTGAGCAGAGAGAGCAGATGGCCAAAGGACTGGGGCCCTGTTTGCTGGCCCATCAGATTGAATCCCTGTACTAATTGTTTTCTATTTTCGGGGAGCTTATTTAAGATTTTGTTTTTAAAAAATTCTAGTGATTGAAAAAGAGCCAATCTAACTCCTAATTTTACATTTGAGGAAATTGGCATTCACTTATTGGTATCTATTCGTACTTTTATAAGTTCTCCAATTCTATGGAGTTAGAAACTCAATTAAATTGGAAGCAATCTAAGGTTGTGAGTTAACTCCCACCCCGCAGAGGAACTCACCACATTCCACCATAGTGGAATTCACCAAGCATCTGCATAATTTCTTCCTGTTTCAGACTGCCCCTTGTCTGGGAGAAAGTCCATTCCATTGTAGAAGCTGGCTTCAAAACTCAGCTGCTTAGTAAGCCAGAAACCTGTTCCCCTCAGTCTATAACTAGAGCAGTCCAGATCAAGCTGATTGTACTCTAAGTTTTTTGAAGATGGCCACCACACCACATCTCCTTCTTGTGAGTCCTCCCCTCATGTGGCGTCGTGGATGTTCTTGTCAGTCAGTGTACACTTGGGGACAGTCCTTTCTGGAACAGCCACAGTTACAACACAGTATATCCAGCTAGAGATGCAATGTGAATGCCCTGAGAATGTGGTCTAAGGGTGGCATATCCCCAAGGTTCTATATACTCACTTAATGAAAATAACTGAAATACTCCTATAGGAGAAAATATAATGCCCAACCTGCTAGATGTCATCTATGTCAAGTTCATGTAATCAAAGGATGAATTTCGAAGAACAGTGGGGACTAAGAATAGGAAAGGTTTATTGGGGAACAGGAATAGATTCTGAGAGACAAACGGAGCCCTAGAAGTGGGCTACCACTGAAATCCTTTGTCAGGGTCACTTATACAGCAAACTCACAGTGTGGGTACATATGGGCCAAACTACAATCAATCTATAGGATTGCACTTGTTACTGCTTAGCTAATATTAACCCACTAGGGAAGCAGGTCATGTAGCAAGGGCACATGGAAAGAACAAAGGTATTTTAGGGGAGGGATGGGTCTGGATGCTCTGGTTGCCCACCTGGGAGACTGATGCCTGGGAGTCCTGACCAGGTGGTGCTAACTGCAGTCTAATTCTGAGTTGTTGCTTCTTTAGGGAGGCATGTAAGCCTGGCCTTAAAGTAATGATATACTTCCAGTGACAATTCTGATATCTGTTCTTTCTGCTGACCTTGAGAGCCCAGCCCCTCTCTGACCATGTATTAATTTCCACCTAACTTAGCCATCTATAACTGTACCAGGTAATGTGCTCCAAGTGCAAGAAATCTACAGCCTCAACAAAACACTTGCCTGAATCTCAAAGAAAATCCAAAAACTGTTTTTCTGAGGAAAATCTTGGCCTTTGCCATACATTTTTTGTAGGACATTTCCATAATGAAGCTAATATCTAATATCTATCAGGTTATTTATCATTAGCCTCTACAAAAATGACCTTGCCTATTGAAATTTTAATAACATCTCCACATGTGTGCTCCATGAAGTACATGAGGAAAAAGTACACGGGCAAATGTGATTATACAACAATGTGCAATGTTGGAAGCTTTCATGTACTAGGATAGTATTATGATATTGTGAGATCTTCTAGAAAGAAGCTCTTTGACTCAAAACATCCTTTTTGTTAAAGTCCCATGGAACTGCTAGTTTATACAAGAAATTCTGACTTGAAGCTACAGTTCCAGAGTATGGCCAACCCCACTGGTATGGGCCACTTTTAACACAGAGCCTTCTGGTTTCTACCTAAGGGCTGCTGAAATTAGACTCTCAGACTAACATGTAAGAAGCTTCTTGGATAATTTTAGATTATTATCCAGATAGAGGACCATGAAAAGGGTGGAGCTGGTCTTCAGTGTTCTAAGCTGTGCTGTGCTTTATCACTTTAGCCCCTTGCAAAATATACTCATACATTCTGTCCTGAGATTTCAGTGAGGTTTACCTATAAAATAACCACAAGCAAATTTCTTCCCAATTTCTTTAAGATCAAATGCCACTATGTTATTTCTGTTTACATATGTTCTCAACTTGAAATTTCTACTAGAATGTGGTACCAAGCATCTATCAAATTACTGATCTTCAACTACCCAGGGAATTCAGTTAAACTACATGTGTGTGTTTATTTTAAAATCATACAGTGTTAGGAAATCTGCCACAGGAAAAAAAAATATAGTCTCCTATGAGCTAGTATATGGCAGGAAAAATAAACCACAAATAAAGTAGGGGGAAAAAAATCTTGGGTTGGCCAGATAGCTCAGCGGATGAAAGCACCTGCTTAGACAGAGTGCAGGTACCAAGGTTCAATTCTGTGCTATGCATAAATATTTTAAGATTTTTTTCTTCAAAAACCCCACTCTCAGAGTGTGCTGAATTGGCCATTAAGACTGAGCATGGTAGCATGTGTCTGTAATCCCAGCACTTGGGAGGCTGAAAACAGGAGGATCACTATGAGTCCTATCTGTGTAGTGAGACCCTGTAGACCCTGTACTAAATGCATTTAAAAAAAAATTCAGCACAGGAAGCATGATGGGGCTTCCAGCTTGTGTTCTGGAGATGAATATACCTGGCCTAACCAGCAGGTGGTCAGTACCAACTTTCCATAACCCTGAGTGTAAGGTTTCACCACAGCAGTGACAAGCCAGACACCAGGGATTACTCAAGCTTTCTCAGTTGCATTAACTTTAATTCATACCACTTGGGCAGATTAGGTCAATTATCTGAGAAGCAGTGCTTCCAAATAGGCTTGCTTCTCTGCACTAAGCAGAATAAAGCATCTGTCATGACTTCCAAATCTCTTAAATGTTTAATTCTTCAAAATTATTCCTAGAAAATTATCTTTGTGAGGTGTACAATTAGGTTTTATTGCTTGATTTACTGAGTACCCTGGGATTTGACATATTTGCGCTGGGCCTCATAGGAAGGAAGATGGTTCTCTGTGGAGCTTCTTGCCAAGGCCAAACCAATGGTGACTGCAGAAGTTAATCTACCATGGCCCAGGCTGATTTGCTGCAAAATTATTTATATTGAGATATGGAAAAAAAAACCCAACCCTACTATGTACCTCTTATTAAATGCAAATAATGATGATTAACTTTCAGAGAACACATGAACATTTGAAAAAAGAACAACCAATCAAAGCATAGTAAAGTAGTATGAACAGTGTAGCAAAGAAGTGAATAAATACTAAAGCAATGAAAAGTCCTTCAGGGAAAAAGTGTCCCGAAATTTGTTACCAGTCTGTTTTCATGTGTTCATGTCCTGATGGAAAGACAATGGCATGCCTAATGAGGAACTCGTGTTCTCATGTGTTGACTTTTCCCCGGCTGCACGTCACTGATGACCAAACAACACCAATAGAAACAGAATGTGAGTCTAAATCTTCTCCCAATTCATTTCATAGCAGAGGAGTTTGCGCATAAAAATGATAAGTAAAATTTTGTTAATTCAATCAGTCCCGCCAGTAGCATCAGCTGTTGCTTGCAAGCATAAATATTTTAAAAGATTTTTTCAAACGTCTTAAGTAATGTTGTAACTTTGATAGGAAAGGCAAAGTGTTTTTTTGTTTGTTTGTTTTTAATCCTAGGACAGAAGAAAGGCAGTTCTGGATAGGATTTAATAAAAGAAACCCACAGAGTGCGGGGTCGTGGGAGTGGTCAGATGGGACTCCGGTAAGTATTTTCAAGCCGGACCAAAGGAGATGTGTTGAAAATAAGTGGCGCTAGGATAATTGATACACTAACCATGAGAACCTAGAAATAATGGTCATATCTCCCATAATAGAGCTGGATGTTTGTACCAAAAGAGTTATTTTGTCAAGGTCTGGAAAGCTTTTACTAAGCAGATTGTTCTGATATTATTGCCCTATCCTGTTTCATTCCGAAAAGAAAAAAACATCTCCACAAAATTTCCTCCAACCATGTCTAGTGTGACCAGCATATAGCAGTGAAGCAACTGTTCTTTATGATAATACCTTACTTCATTTACCCTCCCCTTCCTTTCCTACGTGGGGCCTGTTTGTGTATGTGGCCTTTGTCCATGTCACAATGAAAAGAACATTCTGGAGAACCATTTTCAGTTTGTCTCACTCTAAAAGGATAGAAAAGCTAGCCTTAGGAATATCGCCTTTACCAGCACAAGTTGTTCCAGAAAGGAAAAAATAAACATTTTGCTTTTCATCCAGTTTCATACTTGCAATATCTGAGCTTGCAATGGGACCATCCCAGGGATGTGCAAAATCAAGCTAGGGAGTTTCCCCTGTGAAACAGGGCTTTAGTAAGAGCCTGGTGTGAACATGTGACATGGCCACTGTTCACTGTTCCACGCACTGAGCTGCATGCCCTCCAGCCCCTAGGATCTCATTGCATCTTTCCAACAGCTCACTGCAGTGGGCAGCAGAAGAATTAGTAACTTGCCTAATAATACAGTGGACAGCCAGGATTTGCACACAAGTTATCAGAATCCAAGGTCATGATGTCATGATACCTCCCAGAGGGCAAAGTATCAGTACCTAATGTTGAAGCAGAGCCTATAGTATATACTGAAGCCCATTATATAGATGAGGTTTGAACTTCTGGCCAGGATGGGATGTATTGTAAAAGATCAATGCTTTTAATGTGAGCAAAAATAATGATAGGCATATGATAGACAAAAAAATGATCATAACATCTTCAACCCAATGTTGTTTTCTGAAAAGGATATCAGAAGTACAGCAAGCAAGACCTTAGAGACCACTCACTTGCACTCATCCCCTGTGTTAATGAAGAAAACAAAGCCCAACACAGAGGAGACATGAAAGCCAATATAGCACTTGAAAAACAAAATGTGGTGCAGAGAGGCTGAGAGTACTTGGTTTTGGTCAGTAACTGGTAATAGAAGATACATAGATAATTTGGTTCAGAATATGTGAGAATAAGACCATGGAGCAATGAACAGAGGTCCTCACCACTCCCCTCTATACAAAATGAATCAAACCTACACTATTTCTGAAACTAAGGTTATAATATTTATGTTAGGCACATTGCTGCATGGCTGTGTACACATTTGAGGAGGAGTATAAATGGTTTCAAAACACCCTTTCTTCCCAAGGTTTAGCCCAATTTTAATTGTGGTCCATCCACTCACTCCTCTGTCAGGTAATCATTAATCAACTGAGAAGACTGACTCTCTATTCAGAACCCCTACTATGTGAGTTATGTGGTCATTCACAGACAGTGTTTAGTTTCTTGATTACAAAGCTAACTGTAGCTTATAATTTAGATATTGGAAACTAAAGACTTAGCATATTTGTAAGAGAATCAACATTGAAGGTGATACCCAGTTCTGGCACATCTCAGAGCCTCTAAATTTACCCAAGAGCCCAGGACTAGACTAATCCTTCCACTCAGGAAATAGAGCAAGCTTAAATCCCAGCTTGTATCGCATTTCTTCCTTCTGGTGTAGCCTGCCTCTTTTTTTTTTTTTTTTTTCTTAAGCATCTTTAAGGAAAAAAATGCTAAACATTTATTCCCTTGTTCTTCACAAAAGTGAAACAACCTTTACCTGAAATGACATCCAGACATTTCTAAAGCCTTACCTAGAAATCCGTAATGATTTATGTGTATGGGTGCCTTTTTTGAACTTTTCAAATTTGTTATGGAGGATTATCACTAAGGAATAACGGACTTCATCTGCTGCAGGTCGTCTCTCCATTTTTAGACAATACTTACTTTGGAGAAAAAACAAGAAACTGTGCTGTGTTTAAGGCAAACAAAACATTGCTGCCCTCACACTGTGGTTTCAAACATGAATGGATATGCAAAATTCCAAGAGGTAAATATGTTAGCAAGATCATTGCTCCATATTTGATTTCTAAATGTGTAGCATTTTCCCAGATGAAGTTAAAAGATTCAAAATCTAAGCACCCTGACAACAAAGCAGCAATCTTCATGATGAACCGCACCCTTTTATTAAATAGTGTATCATAGGGAAATAAGAAAATTGTACCAGCACAGTATACCAAGTTAATTCATTCGGAATAGTAGTACCTAGTTAACATTGAGGAATACTTACTGTACAAACATAGTCAGAAGATAACACTGCTCTGACAGCACAAGTAAGTAGAATGACTATACAATGACAGCATATCAGTGAAAACATATCATATGGCACACAGTAGATCCTCAGCAAGTGCTCCTGTCCCTTCTTTAATCAGATACCTCTCTAGAGAATTTTCTTCAAGCATTCTTCTAAACAGACCAAAGTATTTTTCTTCCAAGTATTTTTTTAAAAAAGATTAAATACAGTGTCGTATGTTTAGAGTTGAAGTAATTCTGACAGTGTACCTATGAATAAAGGTCAGTAAAGTCAATTGCTTTCACCTTGCAGGTGTGAGACCCAAGATTCCATCCTGGTACCAGTATGGTAAGAATTATCCTGGTATTTCCCACATTTCTAGTTCTACACTATAGAATTGCCAGTATATAGTATTTATTCTCACATTCTTCCTAATTGAGTGTCGTGTCAGTCTGGAGCTCATTTGTTCAAATTAATAAGTCAATATTTAATACTCAAAACAATATCACTAGTAAATATGATTGATGACTAATATCATAGCTTAACTCTTTTTTCTTGACACCATTTTATAATATGTATCTGTCTCTGACCTTTGGATAATATTAAAGATTTTTTAATATGAGGTATAAGAAGGGAAAAAAGCAAATTATGTATTTATTTAGGTGTGTGCATGTCTGTGTATATAGTCACTTATGTACGTATTTGTATACCTTTTTAATGCTAAGTGACAGGATTAAAATTGAGTTCAATCATAATATACCTTATTTAAGCCTACACTGTGTCCCTTTTTAAAATTTTATTGGTACATTATAGGTGGACATAATGACCACATTCATTGTAGGGAATTTGTACCTGTACACGATATACCTTGCTTCTTCTGTTTTCCCATCCCCTTCCCTCCTTTCATCCCCCTCCCTACTTCTTAGTGGTGCAACCACTGACATCATTTATTTTTCTTTCAGATGCACCCTGGCTCTTCTACCAGGATGCAGAGTACTTTTTTCATACCCATAGTTCAGAATGGGGTGCCTTTGAGTTTGTCTGTGGCTGGCTGATTGGTGAACTTCTCACAATTCATTCTTCACATGAGCAAGAATTCATCCACAACAAAATAAGAAAGGTACTTGAAGAAAACTCACCATGAGAAATTCAACGTGGCACCTTCTTCTGTACTGTTTTTAAAGTTGACTTGAGACATTCAAGTTTCAGTAAAAGCCATAGGTTTTAGAGGCTTGTTCTTCTTGCTGTTACAGAGGTCAAGAATAAAAAAATGAGAGATAGGTTTCCTCTGCTGCTCAGTCATTTTACTTCTCTTCATCTTTAGTAGCAAAACTGAGCTAATGAAGAGGACTTTACTTCCAGCTCTCTGTGGAAAGTCTACTATCAGTACATTTTGCAGATGAGGGAGAAGCTAAGTAACTTGGTCACACAGCAACTGAGAGGCGGGATTTGGACAGATACCCATGCTACCTGACTCCTAAGGTCATTTGAAAACTCCCTGTGCTGCCTGTGGCCACGGAACAGTGCAGCCCACAGCACATAGGGCCACAAGTCCACATTATGCCAAATGCCACTTCTAAACTCCCTCTCCAAGGTGGTTGTCTGCTCAGAAGGGCTCTGTTGATCTTTCCAGCAGAGTTTAACCATCCAGGGGCCTTTTCTAGGTCTTCTCCCTTCACCTCTCTTGTTTTGTTTTGTTTTGTTCTTTGTTGTTTTGTTTTTTCCCAGTAATGGGGATGAACCCAGAGTCTTTTCACTGAACTATATTTCTAGTTCTTTTCTGTTTGTTTTGTTTTGTTTTGTTTTAATTTTGAGACAGAATTTAGACAGGATCTCAGTAAGGCCAGCTTGAAACTCTCAGTGATCTCCCTCCTGCCTCAGCCTTCCCAGTGCTGGGATTACAGGCACACCACCACCCCCAGCAACTCTTTGACTTTTATGTGTATCACATTTCTTTTACAAACACATATTAACAACGTTTCCATTGTTGTAGCCTTATACATAAGCTAAATTTTACAACATCTATCTTTCACATTGAAATTGTCACGCTGAGTATCGTCTAGGTTGTCCTGTGCCATAGCACAACAGGTAGTGATATGCTGGGAGACTACCAGACCATAATTAGGGTAGTAATAAATATGCCACTTAAGATGCAGTCATTATAATTTCTCTTTAAAGGTCCTTATTTAGACAGTGAACAATCAGGCCATGAGTTCCACTGTTATTGTACCTGAGACCTCTTTAGATGGAATGAAATTGTTGCAGTTCTCCCACTGAGTTCCCAGCCAGTCTCAATGGACTCGTTCCAAAGTCTGACAATAGAAATCTAAATTCAGCACGAAAGAACACGTCCATGAAACAACACCTCAGGGATCCAAAATTACAGTTGTTCCATCTTGCATTATTCTCAAATTGCTGATGTGGCAGACAGCCACACTGTTTAAGGAGTAGAAATACCTGCTTATAAATTAGAATGTTAGCAAGTTATTAGGTTCCATTGTATGGTGATCTGAAATTCACATGGAAAAATTATATACCTTAGAATTTAATCCCAAATCTTTAAAAAAAAATGAGATTGCAAATCTACTTAGATAATGTCTTCAAATTAACAGATTTTGAGCATTATAAAAGCTAAGTATTTCAAACACACACATACATATGTACGTAGTACACACACCATACAATTTGCTGATTTAGGACATCACGGAGAAATTCTTATTGCTTCTTCCCCTTTTACTGTTAAACAGGGGATTGTGATTTCCTGGGTCATAAGCCAGGTAATTACACCAGCTGTAGTGTGTATATGCACATGCACCTACAAGTTTCAGTTTTACACCTTATTGTGCTCAGGGCTGAGTGATTAATACTTGGTGTTAAAACATACAAAGACTAATTTTATAGTTGAGAAACCTGGCATTCTGCAGCATCCGTTCATCCTACATTGTGTGTGTGTGTGTCTCTCTCTATTTGATTGCTAATACTCTTTAAAGCTTAACAATAAAACTACTACCTGAAATCCAAACTCTATATTGATGTCTTCGTAACTTGAGTTGTTTTTCAAATAGATATGATACCTATAATGGACTTCTATAAATCACTAAGAGAATAAATGCTTTAGTTAGAATAATAATTAATCTTCTATTTTACTTTATATCATTTTTAAATACCGTTATTATCAAATTGGAAAATTTGGGGGGCCTGCCCCTAAGCTCAGTTCTTTAAGTGGCTGCTTCAACAGAGCAGTCAGGCTCAGGTTGCTGTGGTTCGATCCCCACAACTCAAGCCAGTCAAACCTGCCCTGAAGGCATTCGGAGCAAAAAAAAAAAAAAAGTTGGAAAATTTACTTTTCATGTTATATGAAACTAAAATTATTTTCAAAGTTTGATTCAACTTTTCCTTCATAATGAGGAGGGAATTTTTAGGATAATGAAGGTTCAGCTTTCATAAAATGCTAGGCCTTTCTTATGCTTAGATAATTGGGCAAAATACTGATGGGTAGAAAACCATTAGCAGCAACTCCATTAATCTTAATAGTGAAAAAAGAAAATAGGGAGAATAAATGCTGTTTTTTTTTCTTTCTTTTTTAAATAGCTATCGAAATATGGTGCAAATTGGTGGATTGGACTTCAAGAAGAACGAACCAACAATGAATTTCAGTATGAATCTAAACTAATTTACATTTAATTTTGTTTGACAGGTTTTATGTGCACAATTATTGGACTAGATCTTTGTGATCTATTTATTGAATATCCATCAGGCATTATCTTTAACTTGTTAAGTTTTCATTTTTCTAACCAAAGATGTGCTTTAAAATACACACACATGAAACCATGACCCCCATCTATGACATAAACACATCATCACCTCCAAAGTTTCCTCTCATTGTATTCATTTATTTTTTATAAAAAGTCTTTTGAAAAGAAATCTACCCTTTTGAAAAATGTTTACAAGCACAACAATACAGCATTGTTAACTGCAGTTACTGTACTATGCATGATTATTTTTCTGAATTTAATAAAATATCAGACCTTCACCCATCCCCCAGAGGGCCGAGAATGGTGCTGAAAACAGAGCACACAAAATGATATGACCTTAACATTTTTAATTTTTCTACAGTTGGAGTGATGGGTCACCATTAATATACCAAAACTGGGACGAAGGAAGAGAAATATCTATGAATAACCAAAGCCAGAGATGTGGCTTCATTTCTTCCAAAACAGGTTATTTTATTTTATCATGTTCTGATTTATAGTACAAACTTTTCTGGAGGCCTTTGTATTGCATCAGTTCAGTAAGAAGGGTGATAACTTTTGTTTTCAGTTTACCATGCTCAATTTTATCCCTTTTAAGGCTTATGGATGGTCATTCCTTCTGTTTAACCAATGTATTCATCTTTTCAAAAATAATTCACAACTGGATAAATCCTTCTTTATGAACCAAAAGAGCACCAAAACTGTGTCCTTTGAAACTGCCAACAAATATGTCTGACAAATGATATACTCTATGAAATTTCAGTGTGGAACCACTTTTTCTTTTATTTCCTCCTAGTATCTAATTTATAGCTCGCCAAAAATTGAACCTCTGTGAAAACCTTCATTCAATTTAATGTTTTTTAATACTGGTATTAATTGCTGCTTGCTTTGTAAGAGTAACTGTTTGCAAGTTGGATTGAAAGCACATGTCTGTGGAAGACTTTTTGATTTTCATCAGTACAGTTTGTTTGATTGTTCACTCATACCCACCCACACTCTCTAGCCAATAAAAGATAACGATTTCCTCTTCTCTAATAGATTCATAAATAATCTGTGCCTCGGGTCAGGAAAAGGATAAGCACAGAAAGCAGTCTAGTGGGAGAGCCTCAGCAGAGTTAGAAGAAAACCCAGGGTTAATCAGCGTGCTTTTGCCAGCAGGTGTCACAACAGCCTACATAAAGGGCTGCTTTGTGAGTCTGCAATAATAGGGCTAATCCGCATTGAAAGAGCCTTCCAGCCACTTCCTCAAGTTACACACTTTTTCCGTTCGTATTTCTAATACTAAAAAACTGAACCTGGGGCTGGCAAGATAGCTCAGTGGTCTAATGCTCCTGCTTAGGCAAGCTTAAGCAAGCATGCAGGGACCGCGGTTCGATCCCCAGTACCATGTACAGCGCCAGCCCCGCCCCCCAGGCTGGCTGAGCTGGCCACCAAGAAAAAGAAAAAAAGAAAAAGAGAACCTGCCCTCGCAATTTGCATGCACTGGGTGCCGATCTGGAACTGTTGATCTGAATGTTAAAGAAACATATCCTCAACCCTTACTGTGAAAATATAGTTCTTCTGAATTAAAAAGAAAAACAGTTTGCAGGAAGTCAAGGACTTGTGAATATATCTTATTGAGGACAAATTTATATGTCTATCTATTTTATTTGAGGGTTAGTATTGAGAAATGCTACTTTCTTAGAAGTTCATAAGTTAATTTTTTAAAAAAATTATTACACAGTTTGAGTATTTCTTACCCAAATGCTTGAGACCAGAAATGTTTCAGATTTAGGGTTTCCTTTCTTCTTTTTTTTTTTTAATCTGAGACTATTCGCATAGGCTTTATTGAAATCTCAGAATCTGAAATATGAAATGTCTTGAAATCTGAAACTTTTTAAGCATTGTCTTAGACCTCAAAGTGTTTTTTTTTTAATTTATATTTTTAGATTAGGGATGTTCCGCCCACGTTTTCTAAAGAACTATGAAATGTAAATGATCATCTATTGTTTAGAATATTCTTTCTCTATATATTGAAGCTAAATATGATAAAGCAAAATTGTTACACAATAAATGTTATCTTGTTGCCCAAGTAAAATATTCTTAGGACTTAGTCAGTTCTGTGATTTCCACTGTAGCACTTGTGTTCTTTCTTTTATTTACTTAGCATTTCAAAACTTCCATTCTTAAATTAGAATCATTTACTTGGCATCTTGCCCAGTTAGCTCTTGCCACTAGGGAAGTCTATAATTAGTAGTTAAGTTTGGTTCAAAAAATAAATTATGAAAAACTCCAGCGGTTATAAAACCAGAAATCAATAGACAATGGCCTCAGAGTCACTATTGTTTCTAAGCCATGTCTAACCCATTCCTCCTGCAGGACTCTGGGGTACTGAGGAGTGTTCAGTTTCTATGCCTGCTATTTGTAAGCGAAAAAAGATTCACGTCATTGAGGAAGAAAAATATACACCAAAAAAATATGGAGCCTGTCCCAAAGGATGGCTATACTTTAACTATAAGGTAAATTTATTTTCAAAAGGTTGCCTTTGTTTCTTTTTCACAGATACTCATTTTGGAAAGTAATCGAAACATGAGGATTACTTTTAAAAAACACAAGTTATCCAAGGAGCTGAAATGTCTTTGTCAATGTTTTGTGTTGAGAGATTTAAGACATTTTCCCATTTAGAAGCAACCCTTTTGGAACAAAAAGGTTTTGTTTATAACAAAAGGTTTTGTGGAAAACAGGGTTGCCACTACTGCCCATTTTACCACTAGTGCAGTCGTTTGTAGTGCTCTACAGTTTATTAGGTGTGATGTGTGTGCGTGTGTGTGGCAAACGCATATACATGTGCATGTGCCTATGCATGCGTGTGCCTGTGTGTGCATGTGCCTCAGTGGCTAGCCCCTGCTCTCAAAAGAGCTGTCAGCTCCAGAGGGCCCAGGCTCCATCTATTCCTTTTGTGTCTTTCCTGCCTGGAACCAGCAAAACTCTCTGCCTACCTTGAATTGACAAACTAATAACTTAGCTTGGTCAATGTCATCTTCAGCCTCATAAAGCTGATGCTTCTATGAAGAATTGAATTTAAGAAAAGAAAATTGCCAAGGGGCTCTTGTAAATCAGATTTATTATTTCTGATACTGTCTTCAATTAAGTCCTAGACTTTCCCTCCACTCCTTATGTTTGTAATAAAATAACTTTATAGGCCTTAGGTGAAAGTAATTAAAATGCATCCCAAATCATAATTGTTTAACTCTTAGAGAATCAAAGACCCAGACTGTGTCATCATTTCATATACTGATAGGTGACTGCTCTTCAGTTGTGGGTGGCCAGTTTTCAACGTAAATGTTCAGTTGCATTGACAGGGAAGTCTCTCCTTTGTGATCTTCCTCCCTCTCCTGTGAAGTGAAACCACATGGGACCTGTACCTATCTGCTGATCATCCTGTCTACACTTGGCACTAATTTGTAAAATACATATAAAAGGGAATTTGCCTTCCTGCCCATTTTGAAGTATATTTGCATAACATTAAGCACATTCACAGTTACTAGTATCAAGTATATTCAGACAGTAGAATAAATTTCCAGATCCTTGGAGAACTGAAACTCTGTACCTACTGAACTCCCTAGTCTCTTCCCACCTGCTCCCTGGATACCACCACTGTACTGTGCATCTTCATGAACACTATTTTAGATAACTCAAGAAAATTATACAGTGTTTAGCTTTTTGCCACTCACTTATTTTATTTAGCATAATGTCCTCAAAATTTATCTGTATTATAGCACGTTACAGGATTTCTTTCCTTTTTAAGGAAAACCAATATGCACTACATTTTGTTTATCGTCGGCCCATCGATAGGCATTTAGATTGCTTGCACCACTTGGCTGACTTCACTGGATTAGCTCATATATACTTTTTATCTCTTATTTTACTGAATCTTTAAAATACATGAAATTACTATTCCCATTTTATATGTGAGAAGGGTGATGCTAAAGAAGTTGTATGACTTTTCTGAGAGTTGACAGCACATAAGTAAATATCAGGCTGAGAATCAGCTTCATGTTTTCTGTCTCTGCATCCAATGTTCTTGTCTCTTTCCTGTGCTCACCACTACACTTGACATAGTTTTTCCCCATAAGCATTCTCTCCTCAGAAGGATGTGGTGGTACATGCTTGTAATCCCAGAACTCTAGGAGGCTGAAGCAGGAAGACACAGTTAGAGCCTAGCCTAGGTAACTTAGTGATGCCCCACTTCAAAATAAAATTTATAAAAATGTAAAAGGTCTAGTCAATGCAAAGGCCTATAGCGTCAATGCTTAGCACTGCGCACATGAAAGAGTCATTGTCCTCTTTTCTTCCCCTTGGAATTTTAGCGCTTGACTCATTCATTCACTTAACCCTTAGATACTGGGAATTCAAAAATAGCCACAGTGCTTCCTTTTTAGGAGTATACAAGCTACAGAAGAAACTTCAGTAAATCAATCAAGAAAATAACTACCTATTTCAATCTGTGGTATAATAAAAAAAAACTTACACAATTCCAACTGGAGAGATAGCCCATGGTAGAGTGCCTGCCAAACATGAGGCCCTAGGTTCAATCCCCAGGACCTCCTGGTGAAAACCCAAAAAAGTTATATAATTTTCTAAGTGTACATACCTAATTAAGGTGATCAGAAGAGTCATGAAAGCAACATTTGCAAAGGTCCCATGGTGAAGGAGAGTATGACATTTATGAAATCAAAGAATAGTGAGCTAGACAAGGGTAAGATATGAGACAAAAGAAACAGGCAAGGTTTATATCATGTGAAAGTGTCTGGTTTTTAATCTTAAGAGTGGTGGGAAACTTCTGAAGGGTTGTAAACTAAAGATGGACATGAGCTGATTTTGCCAAGTATCACCCACACTACAGAGCCAAGCATCTATCGGAGAACAAAGTCCAGGCAAAAAAATTAGTAGCTTGAGCTAAGATGGTGCTGGCAAAGAGTGCAGAGCACAGAGAATGGGGAGAGAGGTGTTCTCAGGGAAAGGGGCTTCCCAGGAGATGGAGGGGGAGGGAGGAGCTCTTGCTCAGATTTTAGACTCAAGTAAATGCATGCTAACTGTGCCACTTAATGTCAGCAGGGACACTGGGGAAATACTACATCCAGAGGAAAGATTCTCACATGGGCTTTTTAAATGTTCAGCTAGAAAATTCTTTTGAGACAAAAATAATTTTATACTCAGAATTCATTTGGAATTTAGTAGGATCTCCCTAATCCACAATAATAATCAGAGATGCATTAAACTCATATGTATTTTTGTAAATGAGTAAATACAAAGAAAACTTAAAATTAAGGATGATATATTTTCATCTTATCAGCTTACTTAATTATTAATAATAGCATTTTGGAGTATGTTAGTAAATATGGTACATTTTTAAAAACAACCAAGTTGTGGTTATGGAAGGCCATGCTCTGAAACTGGTAAATCTTGACTGAGGCAAATGTGTGGGGAAATGAATGGGGGTGGTGCTTTTCTGGAGAGATCTATTGGGCTAAGTGCACCAATGAGGTTCATTGGTATTTCTGAGTGGTTCATTAGTGCCACTATCTGAGCACAAACTGAATTCACATTAAATGATAAGACTTTCTAATAATTAGTGTGTGCCACTCTCTAGAATTTGTAATTAGAAGAAATGGACGAAATGAAAAGAAATAGATGAAAGGATAGTTGTTATAAAATTGAACTCCTTTAAAGCCAATTCAGTTTCTTTGTGAAGCAAACAAGGCCAAGCAGAGCAGAATTGAAATTGCATTTTCTCTCTTGGTTGGTATATCAACTTCAGGCTAGATCAAGGTTTCCTAAAAGTAATAGCAAATTCCTGAAGGATGTAAACGAAAGAATGGCATGATCAAAACCGGGTTTTGAAAGGGTTTACCTCTGCACCATTGACCTTTGGGTCTGCGTGATCCTCTGGTGTAGGGAAAGGATCTGTCTCACACACTGCAGAATGTTCGACAGCATCCCTAGAGCCAAGAGCAAGCCTCCCCCCAGGTGTAACAGCCCAGAGAGTCAGACTACACCCTGGGAGACAACATCACTTGGTTTACAAACACGAGGCTAGACTGAGGACGCCTTAGAATGAGGCCTCTCATTTCACTGGACAACCATTTTAGAGTAATTTCGTTTGGCAAATGTTTATTGGGGGCCTTCTCTAATGTGATACGCAGAGAAGAGTAAGACCGTCACTCTGTTTTTAAGAAATATTTACTGATGGGAAACTGAAAAATTTAGAAGTTAAAGAATTTCAGAGAAGAAAGATAACTATTCCAAAGTAAGGTAGAAAAAAACTTTCTGTGTGTGTTTCTGTCTCTGTCTGCCTCTCTGTGTGTCTCTCTGTGTCTGTCTGACTCTGTGTCTGTCTGTCTGTCTGTCTGTCTGTCTGTCTGTCTGTCTGTCTGTCTGTCACCCAATCTCTCTCTCTCTCCCCTCTCCCCCCCCCTCCTTCTCTCCCTCTCTCTGGGTTTCAATAACAACCTCAAATCATTCTGTAACAGATCTCAGAAGCAAGGTCTTGGAATCAGACCTGTCGATGATTGGGGTCAGCTATGCTTACTACATTGAGAACTGAGCACGTGAGGCAAACTCCAGTTGGAGCGCCCTTTTTCCTGAAGTCTCCCCTAACTTCTCTGGTGCTTTGCCTTATCTACTTTGGCCTTTCTCTTTGTTCACTCTTGCCTAACTCTATTTGGTCCTACCAATTTATTGAAATTTCACTGAGCCTCATAGAACAAGAGAAACCTTACCTTTGATCCTTCCAGTCCTGCCTAGTATGTACCATGCCATTTCTCACCCCATCCTATATTAAAAGAAACCTTATGCCGCAGTTCTTGCTGTAACAATGGGCTCTGGCTGCCCAGTCCTACAACTTTTATGTTGGGTTCCATTTAGCACTGATGGCAGCTTCCTCTTCATTTGTCCTCCTAACTTTATAGTCTCTCCATTACAGTTTCTCCTCTCATTGGGTGTTTTCATCCCTGGCTTCTCCCAACTGACTTATTCTCTAAATGGCTGACTTAAGTGTATTTAGTGAGTGTTAGGAGGTGAAGTGTCTTGCTTGGTCAGTATTCCCTCTTAGGTGAGCAAGTAGGCGTGTAAGTAAGCCAATCATTGTCATTCCCAGATTTCTTCTGAGGTTAAATTTGCCACCTCAAACTTGGTGTGCTGGCCAGCTCCTTCTTAGTAGTGACAGGTATTTTCCATGAAGCAGAGTGGGAGCCTGCATGACAAAGTGCACCCTTGCTTCTGCTCTGCTTGGTAAAGGCAGGCAAGTCACTGATGTGCCCAGAGAGCTCTCTTCTTCGTGTCACTTTAATGCCTTGGTGGCAGCTGGAAGAAAAATTAGTTCTTTCTGCCCAAGAAAATTATGAGAATTTTCACAGCTGATCTTTAGTGTCTCTGAGAAATTTTTAATTCATTTAGAAAAATACAGATAGTTGGAGCCGGGGATAAGCTCAGTGGCACCTGCCTGGCAAGCACAAGGCCCTGAGATTGAGCCCCAGTACTGAAAAAAAAACCAGAAACTAACATTTTGTTTTGATGGTTTTTGATAGTGCCTGTTAATAATGGTCCCCAAAGACCCAAGAAATCTAACGAACTGGACGGAAGCTCTGGATTTCTGTGTTGCCGAAGGTGGGGCACTGGTGACCATTGAGAGTGAAGTGGAACAAGGTAGAGTGCTCAGGATTCAGTGGGGCCAAAATAACATTGTTATGCATGTAGTAATTAATATAGTCCAAAAATGTTAACATTTCCAAGTCAATATTTAAAATATTGTATTGTGGATGACACAGACATTTTCAGTTTGCTTCTTAAGGTTTTATGTCATAACATCTATAAGTCAGTATACTAATTTTCTTTATAAGTCGCTGCAATTTGGACGTTTTGATTTTACCAGTAGCTGGAAAGAATAAAGACTTTATTTATGATCTTTGCTTCAAAATGGCTAAAATAATCCTAAATAAAATCTACTATAATTGCATAGAAGAATTCTTATGTCTGTTTAGATTAACCTACCCACTTTTATTTAATATTTAGGCAGTTATGTACTTTAATTATAGTAGATAAATTCTCTGTTACTTAAAAAAGCATTGAATGAACACTGGAAATTGCTTTGTTAATGATATGATGGAATCTTAGGTTATGGAGCTAATTTCTGTCAATTTAAACTGAAACAAAAGTGAAAGAGACTACATTACCTTAACAAGGACAAAGTAACAAATTCTACAATTGATCCCTAATTAAGTTTTGCTATCAAATATAATCAGAGCTCTAAAGAGAATTTGATGATTACCCAAATGGTTTATATGGTATTAAATTAGATAATGTATTCCTATTTTTCAGCTTTCATTACTATGAATCTTTATGGCCAGACCACTAATGTGTGGATAGGGTTACAAAGTAATGATTATGAAAAATGGCTGAATGGAAAGCCCGTGGCTTATTCTAACTGGTCTCCAGTTGATATAATTAATGTAAGTTTTAAGGTTTTTTTAAAAATCATTTCAACAAAATTAGTTCAAATTATTATTCACGACTTGTTTATTAAAGCTTTTTCTTTCAAAATTTGTATGTATAAATTTATTTTAGTTTATTATGTCAAATTTTAGTCATATAATTTCACATGAGTGTAATAATTCATTCATCACAATAACTATTTTAGAGGTTATGAAGTGGTTTGTGGATAAGTTTACTAAATATAAATATAGAGTGGTGTTTTGATTTTACAATTATATTCTAAATGAAAACTTTAATGTTATAATGTTGCATTTGCCACATTTTATAACATGTGTGTTATTTTAAAGCTTCCAAATCATGCCACTGAAGTTCACAAACACATTCCTCTCTGTGCCTTGCTGTCAAGTAATCCTAATTTTCATTTTACTGGAAAATGGTATTTAGAAGACTGTGGAAAAGAAGGCTATGGATTTGTTTGTGAAAAAATGCAGGGTAAGAAATAATTGGATTTTGATTCCTTTCATTTTCTTGGCCCCTTCTATCTTCCACATTTGCCTTGCACAGCTGTACAGAAGTTCCACAGCCAACATTCTGAAGCCTCAGTCCTTTGTTTTATATATGTTTAGTTAATTAATCTCTCCACCCTTGGACTATGTCCTTTAGTCGTGTTCTAAGGACTGCTGAAGCCACTTGACTGATAAGCAAGTTTATACATCTACTTGAGGCCTATTAAGTGGTTTTATTGCTTTGTTCTGGGATTATATGTTTGTATTAGTCTATTTTCTGACACTAAAATGAAACATTATAATACAGTTATCAGGCTACCTTACCAAGAAAATGTTTTTAACCCAGGTTGGCTCAGGGTTCTGGCCCCAAGTCAAAGGTCTGCATCTGGTGATGGGCTTCTTGCTGGCAGCCTGCTAAGGTGGTGCAGGACATCACATGGCAAGAGGTGGGGGGAGCGATTGTATCCTCTCTCTTTCCCTGCAGAGCCACCCATATTCAGTCACGGAAACCCCACCCGGATTGATGACTTTGTGTAAACCTAGCCACCTCCTGAATGTCCTCCCTCTAACCTCATATTCAGATTGTTCCCACCCACCTAGTACCTCAGAATGAGGGCTAAATTTCAAAACATGGGCCTTTGCTTAATGCATTCAAACTTTCTATGCTGTAGCCAAGTCTATTCAAATTGCTAAATGTTACCCAGAAAAATTTTGAAAAGAATCAGGAGAAAGACTGTTATGGTTTGCATCTAGCTGTTCCCCCAAAGCCTCATGCAGCCATTGGGGCAGGCCTCTAAATTTGTGATTAATTCATGTTCCCATGCTGGGATTACGGCTATGAGTGCTACACCCACCCTGGGGTGGATAGCCTGCATGCAATATGGGGAGAGGAGAAAGGCTTGCTAGCTGCCTCACCCACTTCCCCCTTTTCTCTTCGCTGTTCTCTGCCCTCTACCATTTGTCACTCTGCCTTGGAACTAACTGTGACCTAAATAAACCTCTCCTTCCTTAATTTTGAGTGTCAGGGATTTTGTCCCAGCAACGAGGAAAAAGTAACCAAGACAATGACCAATACATAGTCGCTGCTTTCTCAGAACCCTAAATATGGTCTCTGTGGCCAAATAGGACATGGGGTATGTTTTCTGGAACTGAAGATCAGAAACCCCCACCCCCGTGATTTCGGGTATGAAATGCCAAAGCTTGAGGTGCTCATCAGCTTGAGGGTCACGTAGGTCCCGGTTCATGGGCAAAGCAACACCGTGGCAGGAGCATATGCAGAGCAAAGTCACTCATCTTAGGTCCAGAAAACAAAAAGGAAGGAAGAGGAAAGAATCTAAAGTCCCACAGTCCCCTTCAAGGGCATGCCCCCAGTGACCTATAACCTCCCAGTAAAGCCATCTTGGGGACTAAGTCTTTAACAAATGGGCCTTGGAGAAATTTAAGGTCTGAACTACAGCACCACATGATTTCAAATGGCCAATGAAGTCAGTAAGTCATGCGCATGCCCTGTGCGTGACCCTGAGTCATAAAAAAAGCCATAGCTTGATCTCACCGAGCACTGGGTGTCCGGACCACACCACTCTGGGAGGCCATGTTTAAGTCTGTGTGGAACTCTGGGCAACCAGAGTGCTTACTCAGAGTGAGAATTTCACTTCTTACTCTGTTCTCCGAAATGCACTTCCTGTAATGCTCCATTTCTGGTTCTCAACTATCACTTAAGCATAGTAGTCAGGAACTGAAAGATTTCTTATAGGAAATCTGTAATAGCAAGAGTAACATAGGAGGGGAGGAGCTTTGTAGGGAAAGAAAATCTATCAGTATACCATGGACTTGCCCCCTTATGAGAAACTTGGCACTGTACCTTTGGCTAATAACACTTATGACATAAAAGTCCTCAAGACAATGAAGCAGGTCAAAGTCTTCCTGTCTCACAGATAAAGAACTTGAGGCTTTAAAAAAAATAACACACACACTTAAGGACTGTCAGATAAACGTGATGGTTCTCTTCTACTGTGAAAGTGTTCTCTTCTTGAAATTTACCCTCTCGGATCACTTCCTTTATTATTCTTATTATTATTATTATTAGTAGTAGTAGTAGTAGTAGTAGTAGTATTTTGTTGTTCTTGCTGCTGTTTTCTAGATAGTCGCAACTAGTGGTACTTAGGAACACTGGCCCTGACCACTCCCTCAAGGGTTCCTACCTCACCTCTGCAAATAAACTTCAGTCAATTTACTTACCACCTAAAAACCTTGATTTTAGCATCTATCAAAGCAGGTACTAACTAACTCATACATTCTATGCATATGTAATGCCCAATATAGTTCCTAAAATACGGTGAAAAAATGATAGTTTCATAAATTATTATTATAAATGTTTTATTCAACTTAATGAATTCTTATAAATTACAATGAATACCAAAGTTGCACTCCTTTATTTGCCATGAAAATATGTGCATACATTGAGCACATAAAAATCCTTATCTGACTGAGAGATAAAAGAGATATGAATAGGGCTGGCAAGAGAGCTCAGCAGATTTGCTTAGGCAAGCGCAAGGACCAAGGTTCGATCCCCAGCACCACATGTTACACTGGCCCTACCCCCTGGTGCACTGAGCCAGCTACCAAGTCCAGGCATGGTGTCACATGCCTGTAATCCCAGTGCTGCGGAGGCTGAAAACAGGAGGATCACTATGAGTCCGAGCTGCATAGTGAGACCCTGTAACAACCAAATACTTTGAAAGAGAGAGAGAGAGAGAGAGAGAGAGAGAGAGAGAGAGAGAGATGAATTAAAAAAAAAAAAGAGAAAGGCAAAGTCAAGATTTACCCCTACTAGTTTGGAATTTGATTTTAAATAGATTTTTTTTCAGAGTAATGAGCAACAAAATCACATTGTTGAAAATCACTTATGCATTGATGTTGGGCGCCCTCCCGTCCAGCAGGAAAGCACTCAACACGATTTGTGCGGCGGAAAGGCTTTAATCGTTCTCCTGAGTGATGCGCCCCGAGAGAGCACAGTTCCTCTCTCCGTCCCTCTTCCTGTCTCTGACCCTCCGCGTCGCGGAGCGTTTCTTTTATATCCTCACACTGTCCAATCGAGGGTTGATACATGTTACAGCGCCATTGGTTACAATCTCAGGGAAGGTATCTTACATCATTATAGGCGGGTGTATAGCGACTGCGGAAGCAGGAAATGAGCGCCATCTTGGCACACTCGGTGGGAGGGGTAATCTAGCGCAGGCTTCAAGGGCTGCAGCAGGCCTCACCCAATGGTCCCTAGGAGTTTTGGTTCTGAAGCCGCGATTCGCGGCATGGGCTCTCTACACATTGATATAACTAATTATATAAGCAGAAATTCATTTATGTAAAAGTATAAAAATATAAGTCAATGAGGGAAATAGTCAAATTGGCATTTGGATCACATATACAAGGAACTGCAATTACTTTATTTTAATAGTACTGAGGAATTTTACTTGTACCCAGGGTTTTCTCACTAAGCTACATCCCTCACCCTTTTTATTTATTTAATTTTAAATTTTGAGAATGAGTCATACTGTCACTAAGTTCAGCCCTGGTTTGAACTTGCAATCCTGCTCTAGCCTCCCAGAATGCTGGGATTACAGGCACATAGCACCACACTCCACTCTATTACTTTGATTTTACTAATTCTCATCATTTTGAAATAGGTGCTTTTATTATACTGATTTAGTATAAATAACCATAGACAAATAGACTTGTAGCAAAGAATAAATGGATAAACACAAGATCCATCACAAGTTAGTTGGTACATAGAATAATTTCCTGTTGGTTTTGCAATATGTGCTATTGAGGCAGTTTCTCACTTTGCCAATTTATTGTGGGAGAGTTTGACCAGAGTGAGAGAAGAGAGCAAGAAGCAATGTTTCCTGAGTGCCCGCCTGTCCAGATATAGCAGTATATAACCTGTATGCCCATCTCAATGAATTCCAACCCACATCTCTTGAAGGAAGTCCTTTTTAATTTCTTATAGACCAGAAATTTAAGTTTAGGGAAAATAATTTGCCCAAGATTGCTTCAGCTAGTTAGGGACAGATAGGGGATTGTGGTTGTTTTTGTTTTTGTTTTTGTTTTGTCTTTTGGCCATATCCACATCTCCAATGCTCCTTTGCAGTGGTTTCCAATGTAGTAAAATGAATACAGAGAGGAATTCAAGTCACTTTAGATCAAATGGTATATAAGCTTTGTTTTCATGTTTTAGCTTTGCAAAGCTCAGCCTATCCTAGCACATAGCATAACCAAAAGGCTAGTGGACAAGCACAGAGGGAGCACCAAAGGGTCCAAGAAGGGCTTGCCTTGCCCCTCACCACGGCCACTCATGAACAGAGGAGCCCTGTGGTCACATGCTGGAAAAACTGTGCCTTTTGGTTTAAAAATCTGGACTCTGAAAAGTGATGCATTGATAGTAACTGTTTATTAGCAACTGTGTGTATTTGTAGTATTTATTAACTTGTGTTAAATTCCTTTTAGAATTTATACATTAACCACGGTAATGATAATCACACAGCATCAGTAGTTTAATCAAGCTTTTTTATCTGAGAATATGCACTTGTAAAATTAGGTTTGCAATGCAATCTATTATTATATTATATTTGTTAATAATCTCTTATGAAATACGGAGTTCTGATTGAGCAGTGTAGTAGGCAGAGTGCAGCTACTAGAGTGAAACCTGACTAAAGAAATGTACCAGGGAGATGGCTCAGTGGAATAAGCGCTTCCCTGGCAAGTACAAGGGCCTGAGTTCAATCCCCAGTTCCACCCAAAAAAAAAAAAAA